ATACTGTTGGCCGTAAGAGGAAGCTCAAATTCACTCAGAAAGCGAGGGAAAGGGCTTTGCCTGACACACATGATTGGTAAGTGGTGTCTGCAGTTCAAACAAGGAAGGCTACATATACGTTGTCACCTCCAACAACTGATATAGAATACCTAACAGCCATAATTATATCGGCTCTCTATACTCTTCACACCGGAACACAGTATCGCCAGACAACATAACAGTGGCGCCAGAAATAAGCAAAACCTAGTATACCTCGCTACCAGAGAAACTAGGGAAGACAGATAAGTACTGTGAACTTATTGGTTCAGCACTCACCAATCTAAGGCAAGTTTTTTTTAAATTATTGCTAGCTGCGTTTTCTTACAATGTTATATATACCTATTCAGCTAGTGGATTAAGACTACAGAATCGAAATGATAAATTCTAAAAAGCGAAAGGAGCTCTAGAAGGTGACCAAAGTTATCAAGAACTCAGTTGGACAACCTAAATGGATATTAATTTTTGTTCGTAAATTAAAAAATGTAATGGATGGATTTTTTTCTGATAGATGAGATGAGGAAACCTCCTGTACAGACCCACGATTTCAAGAACAGGTCTATACAGCCATACCCAATCACTTCACGATAAGGCTTAAGACATTGCAAACGGTCAAGGCCGATGTCTATAGCCACCTGGATCAACCATCTTATCTCGAGACGACCTTGAGCGAAAAATATCTTTTATCTAGCGAAGATAATTTCGTTCGTCGCATAAACAATATATTACTCTGTTGCATTTGTTACTGTCTATAGATCTGATATTTGCATACCATTTTTATAGAATTAGGGTGTCAAACAAGCCCACAATCCACATGACGGTAAGTGGATGGTGGGTCCTATAGCCAACTACGTCTCTCTGCGATTAAGAATAGAATTGCGACTGCGTTAACACCCCAAAGGACTAAGATGGAATGCCAAGTTCTTCGTTTAAATCTTATCTACAAATTGTACGACTTAAGCCTCCCAGACCGTCTCGTTCGCCTTGTAGCATTCTATCTGAAGGATCGTACCTTTTGCTTTAGACACGAAGGTACGCTATCCTCTACTCGTCAAATCAAAGCCGGTGTCCCTCAAGGCTCTGTGCTTGCCCCCCTCCTATATATACTATTCACCAACGACATACCTATCCCGTCGAATGACGTTAAACTAGCCCTCTTCGCAGATGACACATCCCTTTACTCTAAAGGCAACTCACTGCCACAGATTCGGAACAAGATCCAAAAGTCAGTAAGCGACTTAGGAGCTTATTTCCAAAAATGGCGTATCGACGTAAACCCTGAGAAGAGCTCCGCCATTTGCTTCGAATATAAACGACGCCGTCTCACCACCACTCCGCCAATCAGGATGTTAGGAACCCCTGTCCCATGGCAAACTACAGCCAAATATTTAGGCGTCACCCTTGATGCAAGGCTCACTTTCGAACCCCATATCAAGAAGGTTACTCGCACCGCACGATTTTACATGGGTAGGCTCAACAGCATGTTGGGCAGACACAGCAAAATGTCCCTCCGCAACAAGCGAACCCTATATAAGGTCTGCATACGACCTGTCATGACCTACGCGGCCCCTATTTTCGCACATGCTAAGCCCAAAGCTATAAATGAACTTCAAATAGTTCAAAATCTATTCTGTCGTAGGGCCACTAACTCGCCCTATTATGTCCGTAATGCCGACCTAAATCACTCTCTGAGAGATTTTTCAAAGCCTCAGAGTCCCACCAAAATCATCTCATTCGTGAGACAGCTGCCTATGCAGCCCCTATCCACACTCGCTATAGTTTGCGCAGACCGAGAAACTCTCTCTCGGACCCCCCCAACAAGCTTTCGGCTGACCTGAACTGCCTCCTGGCGGCTCAGGCCGAGCCTACATAACACATCCCTTAATCTGCCTTAGTTAGGCACTCGTCTAAGCGGCTTTTCGCCGCTTGCGCCCTCCTTTCTGCCAAGGAGGGTCGCGTTCGTATACGGCTTAGAGATCTCTAGTTAGACCGTTAAGCCAGTCCCTAAAAGGTGGGGTTTAGTGGGTAAAAGTCTCCACATAACCACGCAGCCGGCTGCGAGGTATGCTATGAGCATTCCCCACCTCCCTCCCCCGTTTTCCGGAGGGTTGCACTAATTTGCTTCGGGCGCAAAAAAAATGCCAAGTTTCCAGTAAAAAGGGTTCCCGGTTCTCTAAATTCACCGTACAAACACAGCAGTATTAAGCTGGTATTTTACGCTAGTATTCTGTGAGAACGTGAATCTTCCCCGGTCGAGCCGACCCATGCTTGCCGAAATTATAATATAGCTACAATGTGGCTCTAATACGCGATTATATTATATACCATTAGTATGATTGGTTAATAATTACAGTCATTAGGATCCAATTATTTGCAACGCTCTTGAGGGAATTGAGTACGACGATTGTAAAATTATTTTATTCAATATGTTGTAAAATATGAGTTAACGCTCGAGTGATAAATTTCGTATAATGGAATGGAATATTACCAAAGTGGCCACTTACCACAGTATGGACTGTTAGGTGGTTCTTCACTCTTATAGTTACATATGTGTTTGTGTCACGGAACTCCTCCAAAAGGACTGGATCAATTTTGATTTAAAAGATTGTGTGTGAGAGGGTTCCTATATGGTTTAAATTCACATTTGAACCCTGCTGGTGGCGCTGTTGTCGAGATCCATAAATCAGCCGTGCGATGCCGGTGCTGGGGCGCATCGCTAGTGTTATTAAGGGGAAATATAATCTCAAATGGCTTAGCAAGATCCTTCGTTATGACGAAAATATTGCAGCATTTACTTTGAAATAAATATATGGAAAAGTTAAGGATTAATGTAAGGGATTATGTTAGACGAAAACACGATTTCGTAAAATTTTCTCGATAGAAAAAAAATCCAAAGTTACCTCCAAAATAAACAATAAACCGCTGTTATTCATAAAATACTTTAAATAAGATCATGAAACTTTGCATACTAACTGAACTAACTATAAAGCAGTGCTTATGTTATTTACTTTTTTTAAAATAGCATTATTTTCACTATAAAAAGAAATTACCTAAACTATCGGCCTCTTGAAGCGTGATTCCCGCAGCACGGTCACTTCGCTCCGGCCTTTGAACGGGGACGTTGTGTCGCTTACGATCAGAATATACATTACGCAACAGGACGACGTAAAATTAAAATGGGAAATAACCGTAATAAAAATAAGAAGCGACTGGCTTGGCGTTATGAAACAGGCATAAATATGATAAACCTAATGAAATAAGTGTCTAACGACCTTTCTACTTACAGTATTAGTGATTACAAACATGTCGGTACATAGCATACGACGCGCGGGCAAGTGGGGACGAAATTAGAATTTGAGCTGACTTACTATATCCCCTTAATACAATATTTAAATATATCAAGATAATCAAATAGAAAACGAAACAACATTGTTTTTAATTACAGTTTAATGGGTATTTCCCAAGTCTATTTTTTAAATAGGTAAATGTAATGAAATAATTCCTTCATACATTCATTCAACAAAGCCCAAAGTTCACTACTGAACATATAATTTCCCATGAATTAATTGCCTCATTAAGGAGATATTTAATCATAGCTACAGCAAACGGATTTTTTTGTCACAGTTTCTTATGTTGTAGTTATTAGAAAGACGCCACTGCCCTGTTTGTTCCCCTCTATTGTCTATTGCGTCACGAATGTCATCACAGTGGACAGTGGATATTCTTATATCACCACCACATGGTCAAAGGTAAACCGTAACTTCAATCGTACCTCGATTCAGAATCAAAATGCAGATGCATTGTCACCCCTGAGGACTATAATGGAATGCCTCGTTTGCAGTTAAAAAGGTCTCCGGTTCTCTACACTCATCATACAAAACACAGCAGCATTAATCTCCAATTTCACGATGGTTTTCTTTGAAAGCATGGTTTTCTATGATATCTCACGTCATTCATTCATCATCATTACAGCCCTCTACAAGTCCACTGCAAAACACTCCTCTCCCCCGCAAGAAACTCCACGAAGCATGGTCTTGAGCTACCTGCACCTATCGATTTCCTGCATTTCATACCAGGTCGTCAATGCATAGCGGGGAGCCAGCCCTAAACTGACCGTAGAACGTCCCCACACACAAAGAAACACACTAACTTATGTGTCACTGTATTATTCTTATTATTACTCGTTCTATTTATTTACTTATTATTGAGTTTGTAATGTAGTTAATGACTTCATTTTCTTAGGATTATTCAGTTCATTTAGCAGACATACAAACAATCGTCCTTGACGTTTGTCTGCAAATTATTTTTTTCGTTCGAATGTCAACGTCATAATTGAAATAAGTCAACAGGATATGCAATCTACAAACCTATAAATTAGTAACAACCGTATACAATAAACGTGTAGTTGGGCTATACCACTAATACGTCGCAAGAGGAATCCTTTTTGGAAGTGATGGATTTAAATTAACTTCAAGGCTTATTATAAGCGTCACAGTAGTACAACAAAGTAGAGCAAGTAAGAGAGAACCGGAATGCAGTTTGAATAAGCAATCGTTGCACAATGATATCGTCGTGTTGTGAACCAACAACAAATAACTTTAGTACCGCTCAGTCAACAACACAAGTAGTTCAAAGATAGTATTCGCCTTATCTAGCCTAGATTTGTGTCATTTACCTAATGGAGTACTGAATAACTAAACACCCTAGTACATCCGGCGATGGAGTGTATGGTTCGTGTGCCACCTCGTGGTCCAAACTGCATGGAGTTCATCCAAGAGTCAAAAGAAAACGCAGATAACGAATACACTGATATTCGTTATCTGCGTTTAAATAAGTCATGGCACGGCATAGTGTGAGGCGGATGATAAGTGATAACGGACACGTCAGCTCGCGCCCGCACGAGGATGTACTCGGCCACGTAGCGTGCCACCGTCCCAACGGTCCAAATGAAGCGAATCAAATACCTTGTGACGATGTCTATCAAGACCTCCCCCGATGGCGTCGACCACACCATAATACACTACAGCACTAAACACTGAATCCACCTGAACACCACGAACACCATTCCAACGGATAAGGACCCCAACACACGTTCCCGAGTGATAACGCGGCCAAACAAAAAAAAACCGGGGGTCCTAAGAAGGTCGAATCTGGTATTTTTTTGTGAAAAGCTGGCAACGTCGCACCGGTGGCCGGACGAACGCGCGTTCGGTCCGCGCGCCGCTCATTGGCCGAATGCGACGGCAGCCATTACAGCTCAACTTTCGCTCACCCAATAACACCGCGTCCCGCACGCCCCGCCCACTTCCTTTTCGCCTGTTGAATGAACCTCGCGGTAGTCGTATCCGGGCCGCCAGATTGTGTGAACGTCTTTATCACTTGAATGAACAGTAGCTCGAACGTAAATCTATGTTCCACGGACAGTGTCGAGTGTGAATAGATTAAACAACTCTAACGCTGTACCGTAAATTAACGCGCGTTATATTAATATATATTTAGATTAAGTGTGAAATCCCATATAAAGAGTAACATTCTGATTAAAAAAATTACTTTAAAAATCTAAAGTGTACGTCATATATCAAAGGTTATTATAACGTACATAATATAAAAAATATGATTTTTTTAATTTACAATCCAATCTTACCACAGTAACGGTTCGAAGTTGTTTCATATCATGCGTAGTTTTTTACCTGCAACAATAAAAAAGAAAAACGTAAGTCTCTACAAACTAAAAAAGTACAGCAATGTTTAACTTAGCTATTTTATTCCATGGAGCAGTGGCTTAGCATTGAGTTGTGCGCTGAGGGCCGCGGGTTCGAATCCCGCAAGGAATAAACTTTTTGTAAAGCCTGAAAATATTTGTTCCGTCTGGATTTTTGACTTGTGTAATTTATGTTTGTAAGCTGTCTCCGCGACACAGAAAAAATACAAGTTGGGGAAGTCCCCTATTTCATGGAGGTTTTTTTTGACAGAAACAGTATCTAAAACTAGAATTTAATTCTATAAATAAAATAAAGTTCTACGCATGAATTAAAACTTTTATAATATATTTTGAGACTAATGTAATAAATAGCTTCTTTAATCATTTATGTTACACAACAGTTAAATGTAAAAATTATTTTAATAATACAAAATTCCGATGTTACGACTAGTATCTACTATTACATAATTTTAAAAACAATATAATTTTACTTTATAAGTTTTAAACGCATTCGTAATTCTGCCAGACTGAAATCTGGTTTACGTTTGGGATTTTCTTAGTGATACTTTGACAACTGACATGAAAATAGTAAGTATGTTGATAGATAAACAAAAAGTTTAAAATTCTTTTTCTTACGTGATTTAGCAGTCTATATTTATTCAGTAATGGATCTCCAAAATGTATACGTGACATTGTGAAAGTACAATCTATCAGCGAAAACGAATCGTTTCACCCACGTTAAAGACTGTGTCCATAATAAACAACGTCTTTCTACCATTTAAAAGTAACAACGATTTAAAATGCATTTTAAATCAGGTTATTTAGTAAAAGCTTATCGATGATTTGTATGTATAAGCCATGAACGAGATAACAAGTCGTACTGTATTCGTTTTGCGATCTAATATTTTTCTTAACAAAATAAACATAAAAAATGGAATCTAAATAGTGAAAGCAATGCTCTTGAAATGATATTTTAAAACAAATAAATATAAATCGACAAACAAATTTTTCAGTCCAGTTTTAATCATCTTGAACTCTCCAATTTAATTCATCATTCATCATACATACATATCATACGGAATCTTTTAAAGATAAAAAGTTTATTGCAGTCTGTATGTCTGTGTTTTTCTTTTTTTTATATAAAAGTGAAATGAAAAACGAACGTATAGTTTCACCAGACGGCAAGTGATTACAGCAGTTCATATTTACACCTGCAGCCTACTTGCAACAACGCATGAGATATGATGAGGACCTCTTGAGAATTAAGATGCTCTCGACATCTTTTAAAAGTGGAATACAATAAATACATACTGAGACGGTTCTCTACACAAAAAAGGGACTCTAACACTCAGTAAGAGTGTAATGGTCCCGGAAAATTATTAAATACATTCGTATCCTACCAGGCAAACTACTTGATGGGATATAGTCTGCAAAAGGGTACTTTTCCAGATTACAGCTCAGCAAGTAGTTTGCCTGCTTAATGTCCATGGGTTCAAATTTCATGTGAAGTCAACACTTACGCTATGTAAATGTTGTATCTGTACTATGTTTTATGTTTAACTAAATCGGATGCTCACAAGCATGCTTCATTGAATACTTTCCAGGGTTGTCACGTGAGTTTTTGCTAACGTAGATGGTTACAGACGACATTCTACATAAGGTAGCAGTAATAACCAATATTCGACTAATATTGTTTTGAACCTAAAGTTACATCCTATATACGTCCCACTGTAGGACCTAATTTCTGAGAGGATAAAAAAATTCACAGTATGCAAGCAGTTCGTGGATTCAACATCGCTGGCATCAATAAAATTATTGATTTAAGCGGATTCACCACGTGCTCGGCGGTGAAGGAAAATGTCGCGAGTCTGCAAACACTCAATGGGGAAGCGCGACGAACACTTGCTTGCCATAAATCTCAGAAATATTTTCTTCAATGATATTTAATATTTATTCATTCATTGCAACCTTTGAAAGTCCACCACTGAAGATAGCCTCTCCATAGGTTACCTAATAAGGGGTATATTTGCCATATATGCGACGCTTAGCAAGCGGGATACACATATACTACATACAATATCCTAAATAAAGGTTTTGCTTTAATACTCGATTATTCACGACGGACGGTGAAATTGCAAACCATACTGTGTCGCCACAAGCCTTTTAAACACACTAATTCTGAACACAGGGCTCCTAAAAACAAAGCCGGAGGAGTTCAAGAACTGATCTTTTGCACGTAAGCAATAATATATTAAAGTAAAACCTATTTCTACTCAAACTGCAATGCGGTTGCCCGCAAACCGTTCCGGTCGGTCGGAGAGGTGTGGCGAACGTCGCGGCGATGCGTGCCGCCCGCGATCTGAGAGCCGCACGCCCGCACGGTTGCTACTCACAACACAAGGTGCGTTTAGTTGGCGGCTACCCGCCATCGAGTCAGGTTGTGTACATAGAGTGCGCACGTGTAGGTACGTATAAATGGATTTCGATACCGTAAAATTCATAAATGAAGTCCAGAAACGCCCATCAATTTGGAATACAAAATGCTCAGAGTATTCTGATAGAAAGTCAAAACAAACAGCTTGGGAAGAATTGATGAATGTTTATGGCGCTGAATTACCAACGAAAGAAAAGAAACAACTCGGTAAATAGATAACTTTATTAAAATGTGATTATGTAATATAATTAATTATTTAAATGTAATTATTACATCAGTCTTCCCCCCGTTCATATTCTGAAAACTGTTCTTTTGTTACTCAGAATTATCTCGAGCCATAGTTTTGTTTGGATTATTTAAAGTCTCTTATAAAGCAGACTTGAAATTATCATTGTCTGAATAGATATTTTACATCAAGAGGACTATGGAAAAGGCTTATTACCCTGATAGTAACAGTGCATGTCATTGAACTTTCTGTTATAGCATTAAAATAATTTAGATTTTATGCAGTTTAGGTATCTATCGACTGTATTATATTTTTCTGTATAGTCTGTTTTATTTCATTGTTTTCATGGAACCTTTAAATGCAATTCTGTAAGCGGGCGTTTTAAGTAAACACTATTATTATTAGTTACTTATAAAAGCATCATATTCAAATTTAAAGAAAATACCTCGGCTCTTACAAAAAAAGATAGGAACAAGTCGTATTGTTCTCTCAAATAATCTGCGTGGGTTTGTTAACGTTCAAACGATTCTCTTGCCTTTTTTTATAAATAGCTTTAATTTTGAAATATTGCTGAATCACCGATATCTAACTACAGCAGTGTGGTACATTTGCTCTCTTGTTTTTAATGATTTTTATCAGTTTGAAATTTGAATACCGACTCCTCTTCGGGTGACCTTAATAGACATATTTCTGTTAACCAAACATAACTATACTGCAGCACATATTTCTCGAACTAATTCGGTGACAGTTTCTAATATCGATCAGGAACAATAAAATAAAATTCTGCGAATAAAATTTTGTAGATAAAAACTTTTTGCAGGTTTGAATCTTCAGAAAAAATGGCGAAACATACGTGACTGTTTTGTAAAGGCCCATCGAGCGAAAGAGACAAAGCATGGGTCTGCGGTCAAAAAGAAAAATCCGTATATATTCTACGACAATCTTTTATTTTTAAAAGATACAGTATATTTTAAGACCACGTCCTCTAATGTGACTATAGTAAAGGAAGATGTAACTAAATCTACTGAAAATGACGACACCCTTTCGTCAAACACGTCATCATGTGTACAAAAGAGAAGTAAGAAAAATAAAAATAAAAATCGTGTCGGTAGAGAATTAATCGGGGTCTTAAATAGAAATTTAGAAAGAAAAAATTTTGAAGATGATGAGGATCGACTGTTCTTCTTGTCACTGGTGAAAGAATTTAAGAAAATACCTGATCACATGCGAATTCAAACTAAGTTAGAAATTTTAAGGGTTATTAAAGACGGACAGTTTTCTGAGTATCCAGAAGCATCATGGGATTATTCAAAACCAAACACATATTGTGGATATCAAAAGGCACATTATTCAGGAAGTAAAGTGCTTTCTCAAGGAGCTATAGGGAGTCCGATGGAAGTACATTCGCCATCATCGGTGGATTCATCTGAAAGCTAAAAGCTTCAAGACGGTGAACGATCTCACATACAATTTATTTAATTCTATTTATGATGGTGAACAGTGATATATGTACTATGTACTAACTTTGTATAAAAATTTCCAAATAGGTTTTTTTAACTAGTAAATTAACATTAACCTTTCTTTACGTTTAATACTACTATGAAATAGTGTTACTTGTTTCGTGATAAAGATTTTTAAAATATTTAATAATTCTTCAAACATCATTTTCCGTATTGTGTATCCAAAGAATTAACAAAATTATTTCTGTTTGCTTAGTTTTACCACGTGTTTGTAAATAACAATGCACCCAGTACCTACATACTTCTTTTTTTTTTCTATATAACGTGCGTAAATGTAATAAACAGCTCCGACTTATTCTATATCCATCTTCAAAATGTATTGTTCTGTGATCGCAACATTTTAACGGTTTCTCCGCCCGACTTAGCGGTTTTGTTTGCGGCTGCCGCAATTCGGTTAACCGCAATGTCAAACGCATGCGGGCAACCGGGCCATGCGCAGAAATACGGGTAACCTTAAAGGTGTAACATTCAAATTTTAAATAAATAAATTGACGACTTCCAACTAGAAAATACAACTACCTTGGCTCTGACAGTAATAGGATCATAGAGGATGAATGCAGATATCTCTACATGTAGACTGGAATGCAAATGCAACAGAAAACTCAGAATGTTCTGTATAAAGAGAAAACTCCAAAAATAATACAGAAAATGAAGAACGGAATGATGGCTACAAAAAAAGAAATTCTTTTGCTAAAACAGGAGATGCACGACATAGCACATGATGTAAAATAACTGTGACAGCAAATGATAAAGAAAACGCAGTGAAAACATTATGGAAGAGACTACATTAGCAATAGTACATATTCGGTTTTAATTTCAAAATAAAACGTATTTATTTAAAAAAGTATGTGCGAAACAAGAACCTCAGACAGTAGTAAAACAGATCAATCGATAAATGAACGTAAAAAAATTAACTTTCAGATATTTCTTACAATGATATTTAAAAAATTCTTTGCTGCCTTTTATGATATATATATAATCATTCTTGATAAGCTAAAGCATTTCTTTTTGAAAATTTAAATTATTCACTAATGAGCGCTTTAAGAAAATCTGGATAATATTTCGTTTGATTTTAAAAAGCTGAATTATTATTAAATAAATGGCCAAGGCATTCAATTGTTTTTTTCATTCCTTCTTAAAAGTTTTATGTCATTGCTCATAAATTTTTAAGTTTCTATCTTTTCTTACTTAGATGATAATTAAAATTATTTATGGAAAAATATTGTTTTAGAGCTAAGACTAATTGATATTATTTATTAAAATAATAAGTCGATATATTGCATTAAATTACGCATCAAATAGAATTTGCTTTTTATTTTATTTTGCTGCAACAATTATTTTTATACAATTTTAATAAACATTTAAATCGACACAGGTATGGGTCTAACTTGTAACAGCAAAATAATTTCTTATGTTATAGCCATCATTCCGTTCTTCATTTTCTGTATTATTTTTGGAGTTTTCTCTTTATACAGAACATTCTGAGTTTTCTGATGATGTTGCATTTGCATTCCAGTCTACATGTAGAGATGTCTGCATTCATCCTCTATGATCTATTACAGTCAGAAGGGTCGAGGTAGAAGTATCTTCCGGCTTAGGTAGTTCATAAGGTCTTTAAGTAAATTTGAATTTAGATTTTTTTATTATTAATTACAATGAAAATTAATTTGTATTTCTCCATCACTTATTTGTTTATTAATTAAGCATATAAAAAATGAGTAAAAACGTAATTTCAGTTTTGTGAAACATTTTACGTTATTCAAAATTAGCGTTAAAATTAAAATAAGGTTTTTACGTTATTTGATAATATAATAGAAAAATACTGACAAGATCAGTAAAAAGAGTTTTTCTTCAACATTGTAGTATTATTGTTTAAAAGCTGATTTTGCGAAAATGTCGGAAAATCGCCTTTTACGTTAGCATGGCAGTATACTATACACGTTTATATAATGTAGACGTGTAGGTGTATACGCCTGCGGTAGGAAAGGAATGCGAGATAACGTGGGTACGGCGCGGCACGACCGCGGCATTCTGCTGTCGCCCACGTCGACTGAGTTGTAAAGTGGTTTGCTGCTCATCTGGTGTTTTCATCCAACTCGGTTCGGCTTTATCGCTAAATGATTAAAAAATAGCTCGGTATTTATTTTTATATATTTAAAAATAAGTTTTAATAAAGGGTAAAATCCGTCTTCAATTAATGTAGTTCTTAGAAGACGGATTTTACTCTTTAAAATCCAAAAATAATTTCCACATAACAGCTTCTGAAGTTAGTACTAATACAAAGTGTATCGAATCGTGTATTACGTGGTACAGCCATGCTGCAGCAATATTATGGTAGTAGCAATGGGTCGGCTCGACTGGTGAAGACCATCAGAATACGAAAAATATTTGCGCGGAACCGTAAATCTTTTTCTAAAATGAAAGTAAATTACTTCTTATATAAGTTCATCAGCTATCGGCCAATGCAAGACCCGTCAAAATCTGTCCAGCCGTTTCGGAGATAAGCAAGAATAAACAGACAGACAAACAAGAATTGTGTTTTTGTTATAAGTACCGTATAAACTTTCGTATGCATTTAGTAAATAGGTGTTATTTTGATATAACAAAAAGACACTTCAATTGTATTTATTTGTATATATAGGCTGTCCCAGAAGTCGACGTCAAGCTGGAATCGGATGAAAGCTTTTATTATTATTAAAAAAGATAAATTTCACAATCCGTGAAGTTTAAAGTGAGAACACTCAACCCCTAAGCTATCACGACTCATTTTTATATGTTTAAAACAAACCTGTTTCAATATGTAATAATGTCTGATTAATGTACACACATACAAAGAATAGATGTCACCATCATAATCATTACAGCCATCATTAGTCCACTGTAGAAAATCTTCCAATAAAAGCTAATGTTAATTGTATGATAACAGTAGACTTAATCTTATTTTCATTAATTTTAACCATTTAATATCTCATTTAGATATCAGTCGTGATTTCATTTACCACCACCCACGCTGAGTGATGGCCTTGGCATGACTTAAAACGTACAACATCAACCTCAAATTCAGGATTTTTTATATTGTTTTGTAATTCAATGGTCGATGCGCAAATAAAGTTCCTGTTTATATAACCACTACATGGCCAGGCAGACGTTGTTCTGCCCTTTCCGACGACCATTACTATAAAAAATACTTACATTCGCAATAAAAAAAATATTAAGGTTTACTTATCGGAATGAAAATTATACTATCTCTCCAGTTGAACCAAACTACACACTGTCAAAATTTCATTAAAATCAGATCAGTACTTTAGGGAGTTCATCGCGGTCAAACAATTTGAAACGTAGCTAATTTATACACATTCAAAGGTAATTTTTATACAGAAAAATTCAAAATATTTTTTGTAAGTGTTGCATTTGGCAATTTAACCACCCTTTCGGGTATTACAATAATAGATCTACTTTTTACTTATATCATTGGATCAATGACTTAAAAAATAACTATACTGAATAAAGTTGTTGGTTATAATCAAATTATTAAAAAAATTAAATTACGCAATATAAATTTAAGAATACATACATAATATATGATTAGATTAATTAAAGAGTAGTTTAATTTTGTAGATTTTTTCCAAATTATAAAAACAGTCCTGTATTCTTTTTTTGGCATTTCTTTTTAAACGGAATCATTATTTTTTTATATTCAGAGGTAATTTACTAAAAATTTTAACTGCTGTATAGTATGGGCTGCAATTTAGCATTTCAATTCTGGATGAAGATAAAAAAAATATTCTTTATTTCGCGTGTTAATATTATTTCTTTTATTATGGAAAAAATAATTTGATTTTTTAATGTAAATGTACATGTCTAAAATATATACGTAGATATTAAAGTTAGCAGATTATATTTTACGAAGTATGATTATTTTTTTTTATATAACAGGGGGCAAACTAGCATGTGGCTCACCTGATGTTAAGTGACTACCGCCGCCCATGATCAACCGCAACACCAGAGGAATTGCAGATGCGTTGCCGGCCCTTTAGAAAGGAGTAAGCTCTTTTCTTGAAGGTCCCCAGGTCGTATCGGTCCGGAAAAATCGCCGGTGGTAAACTATTCCACAGAGAGGTTGTACGCGGAAGAAAACTCCTTTTGAAACGTACAGTGGTGGACCGCCAAGCATCCAGATGGTGTGGATGGTATCGGGACGTTTGCCGCGTAGTGCGTTCACGAAATTTGGAGGCTGGGATTAATCCGAACAATTCCTCAGAGCACTCTCCATGGTATATGCGAAAGAAAATGCAAAGAGATGCAACATCTCTTCCCAGTGCCAGTGAATCGAGCCGATCGGAAAGCACTCGGTCGTCGACGATTCGAGCCGCACTGCACTGGGTGCGGTCAAGTGGAAGGAGCTGGTACTGGGGAGCCCCAGCCCAGAGATGGGAACAGTATTCCATGTGCGGCCGAACCTGTGCCTTGTAAAGTTACAGGCGGTGTGCCGGCATGAAATACTGTCCCGCTCTGATGAGCACGCCAAGCTTTTTAGAGACCAATTTGGCCTTCTCTCCCAAGTGACCACGAAACTGCACGTCACTCGATATGTCGACACCAAGGATTCCGACACTGGCGGAGGCAACAAGATTTGCAACTTACTGCATTATTTATTTTAGCAATAATTCTCACACAATTTTTTTGAATGATAGATTATTAATAGGTCATTTATGTTTGTACTTGTTAGCACATAGCATGAGTCCGTATCGTAATCGTAAACATAAGTAAGCACAGGCATAGTACGCTTATATTGCTGGTTCTGTATTCGTGGCTTTGTAGGCGTTTACGTATTTGATATTTCCAATTATCGAATTGTGTTTGTGTAAATCATTATGTAAATAATTATTTATTATAATTAGTAAACAATAACTATTA